ATATACCTAACGTTCTCCACTGGCTCATATCACAAGCAATTTTCAGTTTTAGGTTACAGGCATAAAAGTTATGTCGGGCTCGAACTGGTAAAGCCTCTTTTGTGCCGCCAAAAATCGAGATAAGAGCCATGATAAGATCCTTAAAAGTCATCCAAAAGGCAGACTACTTTAGAACTGAAGATACGATTGGTTCTCACATAAAAATTAAAAATAGCTTCTAACCTAGTCTAGGTGTCCATTACTAGCTTAATAAGGTGCAAAATTAATAAAGAGTAATTACCTTGCTCAAAAAGATTCTTGAATCTTTAATTTATGATACTTCTGTGAAGTTATGTCGATCCGTATAAGAAAACTATTTCAATGTAATGTAAGCCGCAACTATATTTTTTCCCAAACAAAAGTAAGCTATAGATCCCACGCTGCCGGAGGATAACGCTCCCCATGAAGACCGACATAGCTAATGGAGCTTTAAGGATAGCAGCGGTGATGACCTAATCCTCATAGGATTAGGTCATCACCTTATAATGGGGACAGTCAGAAAGTATGCAGAGTTTGTACAGCAGATCGGGGATCCCGTCCGCAACGAAATTACAAAGAGCTCTGTTAACTTGTAAATGATAAGCTCTTTTAAGATAATTAAAAATGGGCAGTCGGAGTTATTCATAATTGTAATAACTTCCCTTGTGGTGTCGGGGGATGAAAAAAATAACTAAAGATGTCTCTAAGTGATTTTAGTTAAACCAAATCATCAAGGGAAACAAGCCTTTAAAGTTTTTATCGCAAAGCTATGCTTTATTGACAACCCGAGGTCAAGATATAACATTGCTGCAATTAATCATATTCTTTAGCATATTGAAATACTCAAATAGCTTCCTGTGCCTAGATCTGTGCGTATGAGCAGAAAAAAAAATTTCAATCAAACACGACGAACAGCCATTGATCTGATAGCATGTCGTGTAGATATGACAACAAGATCCAAATAATGTAGTCCAAATAATAAAGGACAGATTAGCCTTTTCTCGAAATTTTGTTAAGGAACCTGCTGCGGCCTTCATTAGCTTCACGGACTCCAACTGTAATCGTAGATTATTTCCAATATTTTTCGTCGTTTTTGTTGCCATTTACTTTAATAACTATCCTTACTGGCGGTACAATTTCAGATTTCAAGCATATTGGTGTTTTCCATTAGATAGGACAAAACAACGTGTGATGATGGTGGAATAGATGTTGCAGTCCGGTCGCCATACATCAAAATCAAGTTAAACGTTTCTCGAAAAACAATGAAAGATAAAAATAGCGACATAAACGTCAATGTTGTAAATAAAAATCAATTGCATAACTCTATGTCTGGATAGAAAGTCTGAATTGCTAGCACTCGCTGGATCATCATATTTCAAAAAGTACACCTTCGACACAAAGGAGGTTGGTATATATATATATATACATATATATACACTGTTTGGTGCGTACTGTATGTATAAATTCGGTTTAGAAGCACCGCTCAACGATTTTGTCTGATTGGAAACGTGTCTTCTATCGTTTATAGTAATAAAAATACACCCAGTTCTGCTAGAGATCTTCATGAATGTTGCTTAGATTTTTGGGAAAAAGACCGACCCGGTTGTGTGGATTATTGTCAAGTTCTTGAGAAAGACGAAGTCCATTTTTACAGAGGTTTCGCCTGGGCAATGTTATAATAGTCTGTTTGGCATAGGAAATTTTAACTTCAACGTCAGATTAACGAACGCTTATACGAATCGATTAATAAGCCTACCTGTGTTCTTTAGAAACTGATGAAATGATACACTTTAAGTAACTTCACTCGATACCGAGAAGGCTGATGCGTGTAATTACATCCTATATCACCTATTATAAATAGATTTGTTATCTATTTACATACGATTAAAACTCAGTGTCCGTGTGTTTGTCAGTCTGACCCGAGTCGACCGGTTCAAATGGTTGGGTTAGTTCGGCGATGTTCGGCATAGGACTGCGTGTAAGATGAAGCCCATTGGATCAATACTTTTTGCCCGGGGCAGTTTGTTTTTTAATCCTATACGGTAATGTTAATTTGGTAAAATTGTCCTTTTCACAATATTTGCACTTTCTTGGTGTTTGTTTTGCAAGACTATCTTCTACATCCCTATAAGAAAGTGTTAAGGGCTGAAGTGGGCCATCCTTTGGTGGAGTTCGCGTTGAAGATATTTTTAGTTACAAAATGGTAGCGCTATGCTTATATACAGGTCCTGATACCAATCAAAAGTTCGCTCCAAGTTGAGTCGAAATGCAGTGTAGGTCGACAATTCTCTAAAAACTTCACATAGTTAAGACGTTTTTTTTCTTGACGCCGGTAGATCTCGATGAGCTGGTAGAGAATGCAATGCACGGTGGCAAATTGATATTTCGGTGGGAAAATGGCCAAAACCAATTGAGGAATTCGTTTCGCCTCCATGACAATGGAGCAAAAATGCATTTCTGTTAAGTTGTAGCGTCTGATATATTGCGTTTTTGTTGAATATTCTCTAAAAGTCTTTTTGAAAAAATGGCAAAACATCAAAAACATTTTTTATATCAACGATAAATCTGCAATGCAATACATTTTTCTATAGCCAAAACAGTTACTTCGGCGTGAGAAAGTCAAAAACCCAATTTAGTAGCTTCCTCGTTTACATTCCCCTAGGATGAACATTTTTTACATGTGAATCTCTGCAGGGCGCGATTTTTTGGGGATGAGCGGAATCAAATTTCAATTTTAAGGTCCAAAATGTCGTTCAAAAGATAAAAGCTTTATTTGTACTACTTTACTTAGGATAGATCGCCAACAGCAGGCCGTTATTTAAATATCGAAGGCTCTATTTTACAAATTGATGCCTTGCGTTTTCGTCTTGCTGTAAGCTTGACCGTACCACATTAGGCACGATTTAATGCTGACTAGATGTTTGTCGTAAAATAGAGTCTGTTTGTAAAGAACAAAATTTGTCACGACCGTGTTTGTCTGCACGTGTATTCAGGATTGTTTGAGCCGGCGCACGCGGTTTTACGAATGCGTCCAACAAAAAAAAACTGCTATTACTAGATAAAAATGAGTTCCAAAGAGAAGTACACAAAGGCCATCGCGATAAAAATCAGCTTATACCTGGTGACCTGACACTGGACAAAACGCCAACGAAATCATAAGCTGTCACTGCAAACTGATAATGTAAGATGAAAATGCGGTTGTAAAAATGTACAGCACAGCTCAATAGAGAATCTATGGACAGGTGAACAAAAGAGCTTATCGATAGCGCCCACAGTAAATTTTTGATAATTCTTCGGTCTTGCTAGAGACCGTCACCGAAAAAAAAATCCATCCGGATATGGCTATTGTGTTACTGACTGTTCGTAAAGATCTCGGGTGCGAATCAAAAGGTTCATCCGTCACGCATTGCATATATTTACATTTTCGGTAAATGTTTACCCATTGTTAGTAGTCGGTTAGTACGCGATGGTTTGTCTAAGAATTCAAGCATTTTCTGGAACCAGCATTTACGATTGCTACACAGTCTGGTAGATTATTACTGACTGTTGATTCTTGTTATTATCGGGTGCCGATTATTATTACCGGAACATTACATGACAACGTTTACCCGACCTTTTAAAAAAGCCTTCGCAAGGAAACTTTGAAACGAGCTTGTGATATATTTGGTCGCAAATCAGAGCTGTAATAGAGATGGACACTAATAATGTTTAACCAAGATGACCGTTTTTTTTTAGCACATGCAAAAGTTTCAGTAAAATACCTATTTTTTTCTAGATGCAGTTTAAAAAACAAATCGTAAGAAGCGTTCCAAATGTAAATGTATTGACGTGTTAAATCGCGATGTACGCTATATATGCTACAATGGCTCAGATATATTTCCTTCCAATGTAATGTGTCAGGCTACACGTCCTTATGGTTTATGCAGGGCAGGCAGCCGTAATGAAGGCTTGCAAAAGCATTTAATATGGGCGCCTTTCTAATTTTTAGGAAGAAAGCTGGATTTATTTGCTTTTGAAAAAATCTGACTTACCGCGAGCATGGAAACGATGCTTTCTCCTTGTCCATAAGCTGATTTTGACGCAGCCAATCATAGTTGGGAACAAAGCTCGTTAGAATGGGGCCTTAAATCCTACAATAGCAAATCTAATTCATTTACACAAGCCGGCTAGGTTGACCGAGAGAATTTTGTTACGATAGCAGGAGGTAGGCAGTTAGAAAAAAAAAGCAAAACAGCGACAGTTTTTACTCGCCGTTACCGTGGTGCTTCTTCCCTTCTATCGCCTTTATCCTGCTTTTTTCCAGCTTTCTTTAACGAGAGACCTACCATCAGCTAATAGACAAGCCGTATGCTTATTGCGGTATGATGTCCATCCTTATTTTCCCTTTCTTTATTAGTCGTTTGCTTAAGAGCCTTGTTCAATCGAGTTAGCTGCGGCCGAAAAGTTTTGCGAACGCAGAAAGTTGAATTGCTGTCGAAAGTTTCTGTCGAGTAATTTTTATCCGACTTGTTCCTAGTTCTACTAGTCCCCTCTTGCTTCTTAACAGACCTGATAGAACAAGCTCGATCCCGCTAACCCGCTGATTTTTGGAGTCTTTGGAGGACACCTTACCAGACAGGGGGACTATTTTATCTGTCCGCTGTTGTTTTCGTTCGTATCGCTGCCTTCAAGAATACGCAGACTTGCAGAGCGAACACGCACATCACCAGTTAGGTTTGTTTTGTTCACAGCTGACGCGTCGCAATGTGCACATATGCGTTGCCCTGAACAGTCTGTATTTCGACGCCACTCTTAACGTTATACTTGCTGTTCACACTTCTAAAAAGAAGTGAACCATGTGGTTACCCAAGCGTGGCCGCGTACGACGAATGGAGGGAGGGTAACAAACGTGAGAAAGGGAGTCCCTCTGCTGACGCCGTCACCGTCGCAGCTACTCATCGAGGCTAACGCTCAGGGGCTTCGGGAAAAGAAATATAACAAGGCGGTAGGCCGTGATAGTCTTTACCACTCCGTGTGTGTTTAAAGCCCTTTCCTAAATCGGAGTGTCCTCTCCTCGGCACAGGAGTGCGGCCGGATCACTCGAGATCAGTCGTTCTCGGACGGTGAGGCTGTTTGAGGTGAAGACAATGTTTTCCCTTATCAGTGAGCGACGATGCTTCTCGAGGGTTGTTATCCAGGACCACCATCGTCGTCGGCAGGAAAAACGACACAAATATATTACTGACCTAACGAATTGACCGGACGTGGCTTCTGTCGGTGACGTGTGTGCATTATATATTTATTGTGAAGCGGAAGTCACGGTCAAAGGAACAGAAGACGTTAAAAGTGGTTACAGGTTGAAAAAAATTTATATATGGAGAGGTGCGGAAAAAAGTATGCAGCATGTCTAAGATAGTTAGATCAGTGAGTGATCCTATACAAACATGTCGTTGGTGAAAGGAATCATGTGACCGTGCCGATTTTAGGATAACGACAAATTTCTGACAACGTTAATAGGTCTCCGTGGTAATCATCGTCAGGCGGATTTTCATCAGTAACACTGTTCTAAGTAGCAGCAGTCTACTATGTCTTAATCTGAAGGCGGATTTCGGTCCCTGTAATGCTGCGGGCTATTTGCCGTGGCCAAAAGCTGGCTTGTGTGTACTTGGATAGTTAGAGAACGATGCGGCGAAACTCATGACAACAACGATGTCGGAAGCATAGAGCATGACATTAGTAGAACCGCTCACTAGCGCGGTGAAGATGAATTCGACAGAAGTGAACGTGTCCAGTGGATCTTTAGAGGTACTGTTTCCGCCGTTAACCGTCGCGCAGCGATGGCACGTCCTGGCTACAGTGGCCTTTTTCAGCGCCAACTTCATCGGAAATTCGGCTCTGGCCGTAGCCGCTTGGATGGGGTTACGCCGGAGTCGCAGAGCCACTCGACGTCTGTCGCTCGTTACAGACTTTCCCCAGGCGACACGACGGCCGAAAGAGCCGAAGGCGACAGCATGTGACCACATTCTCATCGCGGTTTTCATTGTAGCGCTATGTCGGTCGTGCACCCGCGCACCCGTGCAAATCGTCCAGATGCTATCAGGTAAAACAGGACGAAGAAATGCACATTAGTCGTTTGTTCGCAACCTGTATTTTCTCTTAGTAATATCCATATTAGCAAGCGTCTTTATTATTTTTTATTGTACTCACATTTTCGTTGAAAAGATATTTCGTGTGAGAACTGATTGTGTGCGATCGTCGCCGTTACTTCGATATCATGACTGGGTAACATCATTTCATTTGAACTCGCTTCACCGATTACCTTTCAACGCTATGTATTACCGGAAAAGGGCGCGGCCTACAAATTTAAGCTGACTAAAAATGAAAATTTGTCGTAAGAAAAAAAAAGGAAAAACACTCTAAATATTGAATCATTCAGAACAAACGAAACATTAAATAATTATTTTTCTCACTGACGTGACCTTTGGTGACTAGAGTATGCAATGGTGCCCAGGGGACAGCCTCCTATCGTTTGGTGGAATTGTACAAAAATGCAATGTACAATGCCTGGAGCCCTTTCGGTCGATAAAAGGACGACGATAACGAGAGAAGCAGCACGCCTGGCGCCGCTATCGTCTGGTGGTGATAGTGATATTTAAGCTTGGCCAACTTTTCCAACGGTAACCTTTTGTTTCTCCCTGTGAAGAGGAGGAATTACACTTGATAGGACGTAGCTCGTTCCAGCTTCGGTAACGAAACACTGGAAAGTTGTTCGCAGTAATGCACGTTGTTTGACGTGCATCCTGTACGCGAATGCAATTGGTTGAACACTGCTCGCCGATCTTGACGGGTCTATTATGTAAAGGTAAAGGCGGGCTAGTTAACACAGTGAAGTCATCTCTACAATCTGCCGAATGGCTGTCTGAGGATTGCAGAGTGAGGACGAGCGGACAGACGGAAAATGCTCAGATCGTTACGGAATATGTGTAGCACAGAGAATAACGATAGAAGCGATATTCAATGTCGTAGGCAACCGTATGATCTGACAATACGGAGTTTTTGCAGGGGCCTGTACGCGGGAGCTTCGCCCGAGATCGCTATAAATAGTATTGCTATATCGTGTACACTATAGCGACTAATGTACTCTTCTTAAGGGGCATAATCGCTGTACTCGTTCTCCATCTTAACCACAGTTCGAGGTCGAATGTAATGCCACCTAGCGAGCGTTGTTTACACGTATCATCATGTTTGCAGCAAACGTTACACGATAATTTTAGTATTACCCAGTAATAACCCTTTGTTATACTAGAGTGTGCATTAACATCACATTTAATACTTTTCTGTTTTAGCAGACGTGTATCTCCATTGTTTCTGAAAGTCTAACACGATTTATAAACACACGTGCTCTATTCATAGAGTCAAGGCCTCAAATGATTAGTAGAAAGGTTGAGGCGAAACGTATTTTGACTGTAAACTGAAACTTCGGGCAAATCTAAGGCACCTTGGACGAGTTTCCAACTTAGAAGCAGGCTTAGAAAACTCAATGTTTGTACTAAAATTCGACAATGCGCGATAAAGTCGTCCGAAAGACTATAACGTGAGAAACGTTAGGCGAACCTGAGCAGCCGAAGTCTAGTTTAGCTCTCAAACAAGGGCATTTTTTTAGTGGCTCTTTAGCCTACAAATGCCACCGTATAGCAGCCGGATTTTTCCAAATCGAAGGCTCAAAATAAGTTAGCAATAACATTACATGTTTTCAATATCATAAGCGATAAGAAAATCGTTGTTAGGTGTTATGACTTAAACTTTATTGTGCACCCCGTCATGAAAACCTAATTAGTTTCCTTGCTACAACTGTGGATAAGGTTAATGTTTTCTTTTTCGCACAAACAGGCTCCTTTAATATCTGTTATAAATAGTTAAAGTAAGAGTATAATTATTTCCGGATCAGGAAAACGTGAAAGGGTTCGACTTCGTCAACTAAATATGGCGTTTGTAGTATCGTATGTCGCTTATTGACAAAGTAAGGGAACAGATAACTATATACTATCATCACTGCAGAGTTCAGCGATAGATTTCTAATCAAAAAATGGTTAAAACTAAGCGGTATACTTTTCCGACGTACAACTAGTAACAAACCATGACATGATAAAGAATATTTTAAATCCATGACACGATACGTTGAAATGTCCTTGGGCGTCTTCCATTGCCGCTTTGAAAACGTTTTTCTAGCAGAATACAAACTACGTTTGTATTGACGGAAGGTCAGATGTTTATTAATACATTTTCATTAAATCGTACGAGACATAAGATCTAGAGGCACTGCATGGTCAATAGAGTTTCTTTGTATATCTGAACGAATCCAAATAAGTCCCGTGGGGTGTTGGTAGAATTACTCGGTTGTCTTGACTGTGGGATACCCATGTAGACATCCTTTCTACTCCCCACATTAATGTCCCACATTTTCGCGTTACGGATGAGAGCCCATCCAGTGCTCCCTAGCAAACATGTTATACTGTTGGCATAAACAAGGTGCAAGTGTAAATACTTACATATGCGGCCTTCTGGCCTAAAGCTACTTCGGAACAGCAATGGTTTGTTGCCAGTTGTGCATTAATTGATGATGAAATACGGTATCCTTAGTAATTGCGTAAAGTTTTCTATGCGTAATTGTAAGTTTATCAAGGAACACTTGACAGATACGTAATTACCCTGGAGGTTTTTCCGATACCTGAGATAGGCACCCATATAGATTAGGCTCAAACAAGTAAAAACGTACTAAACAGAGTAAACTAAACCAATATTGACCCTATCTACAAGTTTGAACTGAATTTTCGCGTAAGTTTCACTTGATATCCCACTACTTATCTAATAGGTGCAATGCCCTATGATCACCGTTTATTTCATAGCTAATGAAGCACTTAGCCTGTTACTTGCCGTAAACATTACCCCCCTGATACTGTAATGTGTTTCAAATTATTATATAGAAAATGCATTCTATGCGAACAGTTGCTACTAAAATAACTAATATATATGTGACTATTGGACCAGTTAGTGATGAGTTACACTGCAGTCAACCTATAGGTAGGTATACGATGGGCACAGACGTGGGTTACGCGTCAGGAACGGACCGGTTCTTCCAAGGACTATGTGATATTTGCTCCAGGGCATCTATCGATTATGTAGAGACCTATTGTTTGACTGTTATTGGTGTTAATTCCAGTTTATTTGCGACGGACTCCTATTTCGAGCTTATTCGACGCCTTTCCGGCCAGCCTAATGGGTACAAACGGACATTAAGTTATAATATATATACATATATGTACGCTGTAGTGCTGAATGACTCAAGTGGAAAATAAGCTTTACACATTTGTTTGCAGAGCTACTACTAAATCAAATAACACCTGCCGTTCCAGTTGACTTAGATTAGATTGAATCCTAATGCCGTAAGTCGTTTATGCAAAAAGTTGTTTCGGCCCATTCATGTTTACGGCCATGGCAGGTACATATGAAGAGGCAAACTTTTTTTTTTTGTGCTACCACTAATTTACTGACGCCCTGAGAGCGTCTTCGAGTAGTTCTGAAATGGCCATTGCTTGTTTTTTGCATACAAAAGAAAATATTGCATGCAATTATTTGTCTCAAATTAATCGATTCCTTTTTTTCTCATGTCTTATCCATTTAGCTGACCGAATTTTAGCTTCAATTCTTACTACGACCGCAGACCGTGTACGTAAACTATTACGTCAATTCGGTTGAAATGGCAATACTTTGTTTCTTTAAATTGACTTGCTCGGACAACCGTTGCCAATTTATGGAATGGAAGACGTAATTTTCGGTAGCCATAGTCATTGCCCTTCAAAATATTCCGTACGAAAAAGCTCAACTTTGCTAAATTGAATGAATAACTTAACTATACGTTATTTTATTCGAAAACTTTTGCCTTTCGATGGTGGGTGACTCCGTCTCGTTGGAATCCAAGTCAACGACGCTTAGTGCCACCAACAGAAATACACAGTAACCACTACATCAATTTTTCCCGTTCTTTTTAAGGCTGCTATAAAAACATATAGTCTCTTCGGTAGACGCATTGTCTGTTTGGTCACGTCTATTTGATCGTCATTTTCTATTTGGTACCACATTCATATATGCGGTCATTTGTTGAAGAGAAAGCGTTGAAAAAAGCCTAATTAACTGTGAAGTTGTTATCTCTTTTACCTGTCATAGGAAGAGGTAGTGAAACCATGAGACATAATTATTTTTGAATGTCAAAGACGTTTGCCTACACAGGCACTTGGATCAATAAGTAAATAAAGTAAAAGTCATATGATTTAATGTGCATTAAAAATGCATTCCTTTTTTCCTATCATATTTAGAGCCAACAGTAACATGGACATGTCTATAAGTCTTCGTAATAATGCAGTCGTAACGAACTTAGGTATATGGGGGACGATCTGGGTTCGAAACTGGGCGTGAGCACACTTTATTCCAGCCAGCCATTTGAAGGACTATCTAATTACAGTACCTGACGTAAAACTCAAAATATTTTATTTCGACATGTTTATGGCAGAATATTTCTATATGCTTATTTGTTAAGTTAAGTAACCTCATGTACACCAAAACGGGTTCTATCGTGGTTTGTTCATCCGTAGGCATCCTGTGACACGCAGTTAATGTGCCTTGGAAGCGTATTTGTTTCTCTTAACCACATGATAGTATGCGTGGGCGCACTGGTCAATTTTGCAGTCCCAGCAGTGACATATTGCCTGGGTCGGCCTTACTTAGCGAAACTCATATGAATCTTGTAGGTAACGGCTGCTAGATTGCATTACCCGCTGCATACTTAAGCATTCTCTCTTTACGGTTATATATTAGTGGCGCTGAATGTAATTACTAGGACCGCTGTGAAACAGTAATACAGCTTTAGAGCATATTCATTCAATCTAGATGTTCTGCAATCTCCCATCATAACCATGAATAATTCCAACGAACGTAAAGAAACGCAAGGATTAAAAGGGCCTCCAAGACAGACCGCAGATCCACCACTCTGTTGTTCAAAAAAAAGCACGGCGTCCAGCCGAGTAATTGCTACCCTGAGCGGAG